CTGCTCGAATCCGGGGCTACTTACAGCCCCCGACTGGTGATCTCTCCACACAGGCCACAAACCAGTCCCACAGAGCGCTTCAGCTGCCTGCCTGAAGCCTCACGAGCAAAACCCCTCCGACACCCCAGCAATATCCGTGCCCCAGATGGCCCCGGGCCTCATACACAGGTGGGGGGTCCTAGCACCCAATCCCACCTACCCCGAACAAGTCCTGTCCAGTTCCAAGAAACCAGTCACAGATCCCTGGTCAATTTACCCTCTGGATCTTACCCACAAATCACGCTGGGCCAATCCTTTAGAATCTATATCTAAAGGTTTATTATTACAAGAAAGAAAAGCCTGAGAGTAAGGTTATTAAAGTACAGTACGTTACATGCACCGAATCTCCCAGTTCTCGATGCAGGCTCTAGCAGAGATGTTACAGCTGCTGGTTTAAAAGTTCTTATTGCACATCCTACGATCAGGATGGGTTCACAGGTCTTCCGGGCTCTTCAATCCCTGCAGTGCTGCCTCTGGGATGAAGTGCTGAGCTGAGAACCAAATGGCATCGACCACATGGCCTCTTTTATCCCCTTCCTGGCCTCTTCTTGTATGCAGCAAGTCATCTGGTCAGAGGCCAATCTCTATGTACCGTGCTGGCTGCCCTCAGGTGACAAATCCCATTCTTTGGGTGTGTCCATAGCCTATTGAGAGTCATTGTTCCACAGGGCTTTGCTACTCAGCCTGTCCATAGCAATGCTTAACCACATTCACAGAAATATTCAGCTTCCACACAGATTACAGATTCCTACCTACACACATAGACATTATATACTCACATAAACAGTGTACACAGGATCAGAAAACAGCAAGCTCCCATTCAATACCCCACATGGCTCCCTTTTATTCCAATTTCTGGGGCCAATACCCCCACCTAGGGGTGCAGCAGTGATATGGCTGCTTCCCCCCAATTCGGTAATGTGACACTAGGCTTCCTATTCTAGGTAGGAACTAGGGTGGTAGTGTAGACATACCCTAAGTTCTTATATCAGCACATTCTGCCTTACAGTTTTTGGAGCTCTCTCTCACACTTAAGGTAATCCTCTCCACTTTGTACAATTAATATTAGGGTACATCTACACTGCCTGCTTATTTTGAAATAAGCTATTCTGGAAGAGTTGTTCAAAAATAGCTTATTCAAAATAGCATGTCTACACTGCAGGGAAGCTTCAAAAATAGTCCGAGGCAGGCTTCCCTAATGTAGACATGCTATCTTGATTTAGAGACCCAGGAGGCACTGTGGAGGAATAACTTAGAATGGCCCTGGGAAGGGACTATTTCGAAATAGCAGCAGTGGAGCGTATACACACGTCTTATTTTGAAATAATAATAGGAGTTATTCATCATAGAATGAGGTTTACAGATTTTGGAATAAGCTGTCTGTTATTTGGAAATTATTTCAAAATAATAGAATGGCTGTGTAGACGTTCGCATTGTTATTTTGAAATAATGCTAGTTATCTCAAAATAAGGGTGTAGTGTATATGCACCCTTATAGCCCTTGTCATTAAATGGTTAGTCTCTTTTACGGTCTTAAGTTTAGTTTTAATGCAAATTAAAGGTATGCTTTAGAAACTATTTCAAATTGCTTAAACCAGTGCTCTCCAACCTTTTTACACTGAAGATCACTTTTTAAATGACAGAACAAGCCAAGATCTACCACTCTGTCCCTTCCTTGAAGCCCCACCCTCTCTATTCTCCTCCTCTCCATCACTTGCTATCCCCAGCCCTTATACTGCTGCTTTTTCTTTTTTCAATTCTTCTGTAGGAATAAGTTTTTCCAACATTTGGCCTGTCTAGACTCGACCAAATGTCAGAAAAACCCCTTCTTTTGGAAGCCCCCTTATTCCTCATGGAAAGAGGAAGATAGGGGTGACCGAAAGAGCATGTTTGCTCTTCCACTAAAAAAAAGAGAAGAACAAACGAATCCCTGGATGCAGAAGAGTTTTTCTGGAATATCTCCGGAATCCTGAAAAACTCCTGCAGTCTAGCCGTACCCTCGCTGGGTTGAGACAGTATGTGTAGGCTCTGGGGTGGGAATGAGGTATTTGGGTGTGGGAAGGGGTGAGAGGTGCAAGCTCTGGGAGGAAATTTGGATGCAGGAGGAGGTGGAGAAGGGGACGCTGGCTGAGGTTGGAGGCTCCAGGCCGGGCAGTGTTGGGGTCAGATGTAGGGTTGGGGTACTAAGCAAGCCACAGGCTTGTGGATGTGAGGGTTCAGGAATTTTGGTTGGGGTATGTGAGGGGCACAAGGCAGGGGCTTCCAATGTATGATAGGCTCAGATCTAGGGTCTGGGGGAAGGGGGAGTGCAGGAGTGTTCTGATGAGGGGCAGGGAACCTGTTTTGAGTCAGGTGTCACTGACCCACAGAATAGTCAGTTGGGGGCCACACAAGTGAGATGCAAAAAAAAAAAACCCAAAACCCTCCTCCAACCCCCCCGCCCCAAGCCTCACTAAGGTGGCCCCAACTGTGCTGGTGGGAGCAGGGGACATGGTACTGGGGAAGAATGCTAGTGGGTGCTAGAACAGGGGACAGGATGCCAGTGGGGGCAGGGTTCTGTGGCTGGGGGCAGGGGAGAGAGAACAGGGTGCCGGGAGGGCAGGAGACAGGGTTCTGGGGCAGGGGGCCAGTTGGGGGAGAGAGTCCTCTGCACCAGCCTCCTCCCAGGATTCCCCTCCCCCCTCAGAGGAGGGAAGCCCTGTCGCACACTCTCTCTGGGCCCAACTCCTCACTCCCATGCAGCAGGGAAGCCCGTGCATGCACCCACCCCCCCTGCGGAGGAAGAAAGCCCTGTCGCACGCCTCCCCTTGGGACTCCTCCCCCATCCCCCGCAGAGGAGGGAAGCTCCGGCGCATGCCTCCTCTGGGAACTCCTAACCCCTCCCCCTCCCAGAGGGAAGCCCTAGCGTGCACCTCCCACCAGGATGCCTCCCCACTCACCCGCAGAGGAATGATGCCCCAGTGCGCGTTTTCCCTGGGATTCCTACCTCCTCCCCCCATGCAGCAAGTCCCCTGTGCGCCACAGACCTGGAGGAGGGGAGCAGGCAGCGCACTTCCGGAAACCCCAGTAGTGGCGAGCAGCTGCCGGACTTCCGTCCACCCTGCGGGAAGTCGGCACTACCTCCATTGTCGCTTCTTGGGGGTGGGGAGAATTGGGGGGACTCTGAACGCCTTGCGATTGACTGGTCGAACCTTCCCGATCGACCAGTCGATCATGATTGACGGGTTGGTGACCACGGGCTTAAACAATAATCCCAGAGAAAATTTGCTCTGAGCAGGTAATGAGATTGTTGTCGAATGAAGTGATTCTCCTCTAAAAGTTAACATTGTTAACAAAGCGAGGGCCCAGAGACCTTGTCTTGATCCCAACTACCGAGCTGTCTTTTTAAACTATAAGAATGTTTCTGTATGATGGTCATGACAATAACAAGGAGCTGTGGTTTGAATAATTAATTTATTAAGGTGCTTAAGCTCTTTTGGTGGAAGGCGCCATCAAAGCTTAAGATATATTGTTATGGTTTACAGTGTTGTGAGGAAGTGCTGAGAAGATGTTGTATATGGAGTGTTGTTTTGGGGTGGAGCTACTAGGAGTATGGGGATTTTATGCAGTTGTGGCCTCTCTGACATTAATATTGCTGTCTGCATTTATATATATGCAAATCCCTACAATCTTGGCTACTAACAGTATACAGGCAGTCCCCGGGTTACGTACAAGATAGGTACTATAGGTTTGTTCTTAAGTTGAATTTGTATGTAAGTCGGAACTGGCTTCAGATTCAGCCGCTGCTGAAACTGATCAGGGGCTGACTACAGGAAGCCCTAGGCAGAGTTGCTCTGCCCCCGGCTTCCTGGAATCAGCCGCTGATCAGTTTCAACAGCGGCCGGATCTGGGC